CAGTCAGCATAAATTTGCGCACATGATCAAAATAATTCTTTTGTTTGTTTGTTATTTTCTACTTTTGCCGGCGGATTACCATGAGGATTACCATGATATCTTTGTATTAGATGATACAAATCCTAAAAGCGCCTATCAAATACATATTGAATTGATATAATCCCGGTATTAACAATTATACTCAATAATAGTTTACGCTGTGAAAATAACAGTATTTTCTTTTAGCCAGTAGTCCTCCCACAACACACATGGAACAACGGTGAAAATAAGAATCTGGAATTACTGAAAGCAAAAGTGCGCATAACCTCCAATACCTCATTTATCAATCAAATTCCACGAATATTCAAGAACTTTAGAGAACATTGCACGTGGAAGAGGGAACCTAGACGATAGCGGTTATTGCTTTACTAAAATGCGAAAATATAATTATTATTGTTCCTCGTTTGCCTGATCAGCATAAGCCCCATGCATTCGTTGCTATTTTCACCAGGAATCTATTTCTCGTCTGGCGTGGCGGCGTTAAGTGCAGATCGTCATTTATTTGTCGTTATATGTCGTGGATTATACGGATTTCGTTTTCTGTTTTTTTATATACCATTATCTTGTGTTTGGGATTTCTCTTTTTTCTCTTTTTTGTTTTATTCTTATTATTCTTTTTTTTTTCTTTTTTTCTTTCTCTTCTTTTCGTCTCTCTCTTTTCCTCGCTTTGTATTTTCTCTTTTTTGTTGTTGTTGTTGTTGTTGTTGCTCTTTTTTTGTTTTTTACCTTTGCTCTGTTTCATTAATCTATCTCTTTTTACTTCTCTCCAGTGAGAGAAAGAGAGAGAGAGAGAGAGAGAGAGAGAGAGAGAGAGAGAGAGAGAGAGAGAGAGAGAGAGAGAGAGAGAGAGAGAAAGAAAGAAAGTGAGAAAGAAAAGCGAGAATAAAATCTTGGGAGATCATCCGCCCAGATTCAACTAACTTGAGTCCATCGCGTAGGAATTGAAAGAATGTTTGGCGAGCGATCCTTGGTCAGCTGGGGTTCAAGCAGGAGGGGGGAGGGGGGAGGGGAAGGGCCAATAGGGGGGGGTGAGGGGAAGGGCCAAAGAGGGGGGGTGAGGGGATGAAGCCTTTTCCATTTCATGATTTTCTGCTCGGAAACTCAGCAGGACATCGGATTTAAACCCGGATTTATAGAATTGGGAATTTTTTTTTATTCTTGTATAAAGATGGAGGTAAAGAGGATAGTAGAAATGAGAGTTTGTCTTTTTATCTTGCAATAAAATGCTAAAAATGGAGAGACAAGGTAAAAGTAAAAAAAAGGAATGAGACGAGAAAGGTATTGAGGCGAAATAAAGACAAGAAAAACAATCCGAGATAAGAAGAAAAACAATCCGAGATAAGAAGAAGAAAAAGGTGTGAAAGAAAATAAGCGAAAAAAAAACTTCGTATTTTATCTTCTCCTTTTTCATCTCTTTTGTTGTTTATTCATTTATTTGTTTGTTTATTTGTCTCTGATATCATAACACATGCAGGGGTGAATAGAAAGCAGGTTTGATTAATTAATTTGCGATTCAAAAGGAAGGGGAAGTTTTATGATTGTGTAACAAATACTTTTTTTTCCTGAATGAATTATTGGCTCGATAAAATATTTCATAATTTTGGATGGAAATCAGGATATCATATTATCATTTGTTTTATTCGCTCTTTCTTCTTTATTGGCATGTATGTACATAAAGAAACACATATAGGTAAATAGATGAGTATGTGTCTGTCTACGTGTGTACGTGTGGATTCAAACACACACACATTGACACATACACACACTTGTATTTTCTTTTATTTATCTATGTCTCTTCTCCTATACACATAAAAAGAAGATACAATAAATAAAAAGAAGCTTCATAAATAAACGAATAATAATTATAAAATAAACATAAAACCCTGTTTTTTTGTTGTTGTTTTTGGTCACGGCAATAATATACGCGTGTGCATGTATGCATATCTTTATGAATGCATATATGTATTCCTCATCAACGTAAACATTTAGCCAAAGGAAAAGGAGAATCGTCCGCACAAAAACAAAAGCCACGCGGCCATTATTTATGTCGCGAAAACCCACACAGTCAGCATAAATTTGCGCACATGATCAAAATAATTCTTTTGTTTGTTTGTTATTTTCTACTTTTGCCGGAGGATTACCATGAGGATTACCATGATATCTTTGTATTAGATGATACAAATCCTAAAAGCGCCTATCAAATACATATTGAATTGATATAATCCCGGTATTAACAATTATACTCAATAATAGTTTACGCTGTGAAAATAACCGTATATTTTTTAGCCAGTAGTCCTCCCACAACACACATGGAACAACGGTGAAAATAAGAATCTGGAATTACTGAAGGCAAAAGTGCGCATAACCTCCAATACCTCATTTATCAATCAAATTCCACGAATATTCAAGAACTTTAGAGAACATTGCACGTGGAAGAGGGAACCTAGACGATAGCGGTTATTGCTTTACTAAAATGCGAAAATATAATTATTATTGTTCCTCGTTTGCCTGATCAGCATAAGCCCCATGCATTCGTTGCTATTTTCACCAGGAATCTATTTCTCGTCTGGCGTGGCGGCGTTAAGTGCAGATCGTCATTTATTTGTCGTT